ACAGTGAAGTCTTGTATGTTAGTATGTTGGGACAGTGAAGTGTGAGAATGCTCAGATGCTGATGGCCGCATGTTGCTATGCTAACGTTAGCTCTCACCGTTTCCAGGTCGGAGCTGGAGATCTCTTTCTCCTCCGCGTAGTCTGTGACTCTCTCCAGGTCTGCGGCGCCGCTGTCATGTTTGCGGGGCTTCTCCGCCGGTTTCCCGGTGCAGTTCTCCTCAGCTTCCAGGTCCAGATCGACGTCTCCCTCGGTCGCCATGTTTGCTCCAGTAAGACCGGAACCAGAAGGACGGTTCTTCTTCTACTGCTTTTTGTTTGATTTCCTATTGGTAAATCAGCTTAAAGGTGCATTACCGCCACCTATGGCCTGGATGTGGAACAGCAGGGAAACCATCAGGTGATCGTCTCTGTGTGATGTGTCTCCAGATAAGTTTCCTGCAGTCACATGAAGTTTTCTTTAATGCAGATCACAGTTTATTTACCTCATGAGGTGATTAATCAAATACTGAAATGTTGCACCTTGTCTTTTTGTGTCTTCCTCTCTGTGAATGTTGAACTGCTGCTGTGACACAACAATTTCCCAACTAGAATCAATAAAGTTCATCTATCTATTACATCTCCAGGTAATTCATGTATGAATGAAGTGATGTATTATTATCTTGTTATCATCAAAGAGATGATTGAGAAAAGACAATTAGTGGATTATGTTGACTTTTAACTGTCCGGATTACAGATTCTCTCTTCTCCTTCTATTCCTGTCTCTCATAAGAGGTTTACCATTTAATACAAACAGCTTTTCCACCACTGGAACACATTTCCTGTGTCTCCAGACTTTTCCAGCTCATCTTGAGTGTGAGCTTCTTCACTCCACCCACGATAATCAGATTAAACAGGAGTGAGAAACTGCTGGTGTCTTGACATCAGTGTCTTTATTCTAAAGGAGATGTGTGAGCAGGCGGAGGAATGGTACCGGGGCTGGAGAGACGTGGTCATCACACCAACGCCTTCATCAAACTCTATGACGCACCACCGCGTGACGCTCTGACTGACTCAGGCCTCAGCGACGAGATGACGGGACACTGGCTCCAGAGACAGGTGAGAATCTGCAGGTTTGATTCCTACAAGATCATCGAGGAAACACAAGAGAGACGTCAAATCATGTTTGTGTTGCACCTTTGATTCACCAGGATAGTTTGAACTCAGACAGGTACAGACAGTTACAGACAGACAGGCATTTACAGACAGTTACAGACAGGTAC